AAAAAAAAAAAAAAAAAATGTGCCAACCACAGGGAAGTCACAATCTAGTTAAGGATATAAGACATACAGTAAAAAAAAAACTGTGACCAAAACATCAATGATATATGAACGCATTATACAACCGATAAAGTATTACATTGCAGTACTGATAGGATAATAATGTGCCAATTATTTATTCCTGGTGCATCCTCTGCAGGGTGCTGCATAAAAATAGGAATTTTATAATAACTTTTAATGTTTTTATACAGAAAAAGCACGGGGCTGCCATTAGTGGTTTTTACTACTAACTAAGCATTGACCTAGGGGAGACACTTAAACCTCTCTGCGCTATAGATTTTCACTTGTACAAAGATAACTTCATATTAAATTGTCTTCATGATGTCTTCCAAATGTAAAATAGAGTGATTCTATTGGAAAATTTGTCTGAAAGATCAATGAAAACACTAGCCTAAATAATACATGTAATTTTCTAATTTGTGATAGATATTTGGATACTTGTCAATGAGGAATAATTCAAAGTGGTTACTAATATTGTGCAAGTTAAAAATACTGATGCTCTTTGAGCAAGAACACCATATGTGAGGGAACACAATAAGATGAAAATTGCACATCCAAAATGTTATAGATGTAGAAAATTTTCAACATTTTTTTGCAACCATAGGAAAATTCTAGAAATAAAGAATGACACAGTTGTATAACCTGATAGGAAAACTGAGGCTTAGGGAGATCCAGCTTCCTCTCAGTTCTTTTTTCAGTGATGTGCGTGTGATACAGGTGAGAATCTCAAAAATACGACATAAACAAAAGCTAGTCGTAGTTCTATTTTTAAAAGAGAATGTATTTGCCTCGTATACATGTATTGTAAGGATTAAATGAGAAAATATGTTCAGAGAACTTATCCTGGCACATAGCACTCATTAAGAGTTAGCTGTTAGTCTTCCTGTTTTTATAACTAGTAGAGTAGAAGATTCATTAAGTGCATGCATTGTGTTGTCTTTCTTTCATTATCTTATACTATAATAATTTTATCAAACCAGAATAGACATGGATTTGAGGATAATGGGAATGAAAAATGGTAGTGTTAGGTCTGCCCATCTTTGAGGATGGATGGGTTCAAATAAATCACAGAAATGAAAGGGACCCTGTGTTTTCCTCTGGTCTAGGTTCAAAGCTAATTGATTTGTAGCATGCTTTTAAGAGAGACATATTACGAAATAAATAAGTATAAGTTGTTACAGTTCCTAAAGGGTAAAAATCTCTAGTAGAAATCATATAGATCAGTTCTGATATAAATAATCCTGAATATTCTGGGCACGGTGGTTCACACCTGTAATCCCAGCACTTTTGGAGGCTGAGGCAGGCAGATCACCTGAGGTCGGGAGTTTGAGACCAGCCTGACCAACATGGCGAAAGCCCGTCTCTACTAAAAATACAAAAAATTAGCTGGGCCTAGTGGCAGGTCCCTGTAATCCCATCTACTCTGGAGACTGAGACAGGAGAATTGCTTGAACCCGGGAGGCAGAGGTTGCGGTGAGCCAAGATTGCGCCACTGCACTCCAGCCTGGGCAACAAGAGCGAAACTCCATCTCAAACAAAAAAACAAAACAAATCCTGGATATATGCATGGGTATGTTTACATTCATATGGATGTATAAGTTAAAATCTTAATTCCATGAGATCTCTTGAAAGAATTAAAACAACCTGAGTTACTGCAAAATTATCAGAACTCACTAGTTTGCAAGTTTACCTGATTGAATGAAGAAATTTGTATTTTATGAATTTGGAGGGCTTATATTTTATTAATCTGGCCCCTCTATGATTTCATGACTTAAGGTTTATTTTTAAATAATCCCAAATATGGTTGCCTGTATAGATCTTGTGTGACCAAAGAAAGGATGAATGAAAAAGCCTGTCTTAGGTGGAGAAAATAGTGAAGGGCCATTTCCATACTGCAGTGATATTTTAAATAGAGTGGTCATGGGGTGAAGATGGGTTGAATGAATGGCTATGGATATTTAGCTTCTTGAAGAAGGAACACTGGAAAATGAAACATGGCTGGGGTGATACCATTCTCAAAAGGTTAGGAATCACTAGTTAGTCCATTTTCATACTACTATAAAGAATTACTTGAGACTGGATAATTTAATTTATAAAGAGATTTAATTGACTCACAGTCTCACATGACTAAGGAGGTCTCAAAAAAGTTAAAATCATGGTGGAAGGTGAAGGAGAAGCAAGGCATGTCTGACATGGTGGCGAGAGAGAGAGCAAGACGGGGGATGTGCCATACTTTTAAACCACAAGATCTCGTGAGAACTCACTATCATGAGAACATCATGAAGGAAACTGCCCCCATGATCCAGTCACCTCCCATTAGGTCCCTTCTCTGATAACGTGGGAATTACAATTCGAGATGAGATTTGGGTGGGACACAGAGCCAAACCATATCATTCCACCCCTGGCCTCTCCCAAATATCATGTCCTTCTCACATTTCAAAAACAATTATGCCTTCTCAACAGTTCCTCAAAGTCTTACTCCAGCATTAACTCAAAAGTCCAAGTCCAAAGTCTCATCTGAGACAAGGCCCTTCTGCCTATGAGCCTGTAAAATCAAAAGCAAGTTATGTACTTCCTAGATACATTGGGGGTATGGGCATTGGGTAAATGCTCCCATTGCAAAAGGGAGAAATTGACCAGAACAAAGGGGCTGCAGGCCCCATGCACATCCAAAACCCAACAG